CCTCCCTGCCTTCTCAGTCCCTACATGACAAGTCTAAACTACTCACTTTATTTCTGCTCAATGTTCAAGATTTTTCAGTTAAAGCAACACAGTTGGTCGAAGCAAGACATAACAATGCAGTGGACCTAAAAGAGATTATGCTGTATGTGTGTGACATGTTCAAGGAGTTGTGGTTTTCCTTCCCTAATCAACAGAAAAATTACCCCTTTGCCCAGACTCCTTTGAGTGGAATTTGATTGAGTATAAAATTCAAAATGACATGGCATGAGTAAAAAGCCCAAGGTTCACGTTCCAGTGACTGTGATCAGGGCACTCCTGGTGATGTCCTTGGCCTTGAAGACACAAAGCTTGCTGAGTAGCAGCCAGCAAGTGGGCTTACCACTGCTGTGGTTTAAATAGCTTTCTCAGTAAATGTGTTGTGTACAAGGAGAGGTTCTATGAATTGATTATTGGCTAAGGCAAGGCCATTCGTGTTGTGGAGAATAACAGTGAGCGTAAAGGTGCAGGTTGTTATGATGGTTACGATGAACTTCCTTAGTTTGACTATAAGCGGGATCAGGCCAGGGAGCTCACTGCCACTCTGCTCTCTTGACTGGCTTATGTGGGTGAAATGCATATGACCGTACTCTTTGTGTGTTTAAAGCCTACAGGCCTTAAGGTACTGCCATCAGTCCCTGCAAGAATTTGCCACTTTGCAATGAAATGGCTCATTGGCAGCTTACAACAAAGAAACTTGTAGTTGTATCTACTAAAATATGCTTCATCCTTTGGCTTGTAATTTTTTGTAATACATTAAACTACAGTTTAGCCATTTTTATGCCTTTGTGCCAGTAATAGCCGCGGCCAGAGGCATTGTGTTTTCGGGTTGCCTGTATGTCCAGCCCATTCCTGTGAAGGAGATACTGCATGTCAGAAACACCTTGAGGGGAGTTCTTCAAATGTGGCACAGGTGTCCACTTGGACTCAAGGATGAACTGATTAGATTTGGGTGGTCAAAGGTCAAGGTTAGCAACCTCATATCAGTCTCATTTCCATGAATTTGACTGTTTGGCAGAGACATAGAACATAGAAGACATAGAAGAAATTGTGTGTGTAGTGTGGATGTATCCAACTCTATGCAGACTGATATTCAGTGCATATTAAAGAAAAATAAAATTAAACCAAATAAATTAACAGATTTGAGGGGGAGTGTACCGGTGATGCCCCTGCCCTGAACCACCAGCATGAGGTGAGGCCATCACTTGGGGAGCTCTGGAGCAGCTCAGCAGGGTGAGGTCTTCCAGGGCAGCAGGACAGGTTAAATTAAACCTTCCCTTTGTCTTACTGTTCGTCGTGGTTTATGTTAATAGTTGATTGTTGGGACTGAAACATCTCGGGGTTGGCCCCTGACCTTGACAGGAGAGACCTGACCCAATGTGTGGTGCAGTCCAGTAATGCTATAGGCAGTTAAGGGAAAGGAAACGGCGACCTGGCCTTTCTCTCCCAGGCTGTTAGCCTCTGGAGAAACCCCAAGAGTGACCCCAGATTGCATGCCCCAGCTGCTGGGGACAGGGCAGAGCATCCCCTAATACAACTACTGGTTTGTTAATGGTGGAGAAAGATAAATGGGTAAATAAGACAGTTTGATAGAAAATGGATGATTGTAATAATAATAAAAGAAAACAATAAAACTAATTTGATCATGTAAATACAATATATACTTTTGCATACACATATTTATGTGTACCCAGATAGATATGTATGCGCATGTTCATAAAGAAAAAATAAATGAAATTAGCAAATAAGTAAATGATTAGAAAGAGAGGGAAGAGAAAAACAAAAAAGGGGGGGTTGGTTATATTCTCAGTTAATCTGGTTTGATTAATAGATGTGACACTCAAAACAGTAGCATGGACAATGAGGACTAATACCAGTAACATGAATGAAATAAAACCAGTTTGTTATATTTCTAGGAGCCTCGGGTATCTGGTCTAAGTTAAAAGAGGTTAGAAATGAATAGCAAGTGTCAGTAAAAGTTGGTATATTATTCTTATGGGTGGATGATATTTTCTTGAGTGTGATGTATTCTATGAGAATGTTGGTCCGTTGGTTGATGTGTAATGAGTTTTTAGAAAGTTTTCTTGGCGATAGTTAGAGAGATAAGAAGTGGGTTTTTATAATTACATGATTTCTTGGGTCCCTCCGGTCTCCCTCTTCTGCTGAATAACCTCATATCAATCTCCACCTCATCTGCTGTTGTGTTTTGAGAACAAACCAAGTAGTGTTATCTGCCGCTACTCTGTATCTGTATCCACTCTTTTCTTTCTCTGTCTTGTCACTGCATTGTGAACAAGTATCTGTATCAGTAAAACCCATTTTACCTTGTGTGATGTGAGTCCTATGAATAGTCTTATATTGTATAAGCTGTAAGTTTATATTGGTAGTCATGGACAAGATATTATTACAGATCTTGGTCCAGAAGTCAGGGCTGGGGGCGAGTGACAAATCCTTTTCCCATTTAGTCATTGGTATTGTTCTATCTGTATTTGACATTAGTTTATAAAGTTTAGATATTATTTGGTTTGCTTGTTTGTAAACGTCATTATCTCCTCAGCTAGCATGGAAGGTTGCAGGGGGCTGTTGATTATATTGATCTTTGATTTAATTATGGATTTTAACTGTTGGTACTGGAGAAATTCTCCTCTCCCAACTCCATACTTCTGGACTAATGTATTGAATGGTATGAGCTGGTTGTTTTCAAATAGATGATGAAGGTGAGTGATTCCTTTTGGTTGCCATGTTGGAAAGTGGACGGGGTTGTTATGCAGTGGAAAATCAGGGTTGTGCCAAATTGGAATGTATCTACATTGTGTTAATAATGATTTAGTGGTTTTCCTTGCCTCCTACCAGGCTGTCAGAGTTGTAGAGATTGTGATATTTTTGTAATAGTTCATTTTCTTAATTGAGTATGGTAGGAAGGCAAAGTCTGCAACTGAGGTATTGCATTGATTTTGTTCTAGTTTTATCCATGAGCTATTACAACTGTCCTTCTGAATCCATTTAACTAAGTATTATAATTGATTTGCTAAGAAATATTACTGTAAATTTGGTGCTTCTAGGACACCTTGTGATTTCTTCTTCTGAAGTGTTGACAGGGAATTTTGGGGTTTTACAGAGCAGTAATTCTAAATTCATCATGTTGTGGTTTTCCAGGTGCAATGGAGCAGCTACTGTTGTGCAAACTCTTCTTGTTGATGCATTCAAGGATGCTCCAACAGCTGAGATTTTAGAGAATGCTGCTGAATAGAATTTAGTTTGTAGTGTAAATGTGGATGTTGTTTAGTGTATAATGTGAATGCAGTCATGTCTTGCATTAAAAATATCTATTTTGGCTGTTTAGGAGCCCAATCTAAAATACTGATGCAGTCTTGATCACACCAACAGAATAAGGCCCTGCTCACCTCCATAATACTCTGACCAAAAAAAAAAACAACAACTTAAAAGCTGTTTTTAAGGTTTTTTTTCTAAGTTTTAATGTAATCTAAAAACTTGAGGCTGCACTTTAAGAAGTGGTCAGCAGTTTTGGCAGGAAGTATACATAAATAATAAATTATCATCAGTCCCATGCACTAACGGATCATTGCTAATTGAATTAGAAGTGATCATCTTGGTCAGTTGTTAATTATTATGCAAGTCTTGTTTGCTTAGTGCCTCTATGTATGCTAGAAACAGTGCACTACTTGTCTCTAGCAAGTTCGCTTATTGTGATGGTGCTGAATGTGTGGATTCTTCTCTGTGCCTCTCTGCGCAAGTTCTTTGTGCCATAGACATCACATAAACATTGCATTAGTACAGGTGACTGTAGTGAGCTTGTCATCCTTTATAGAGCACATGAAGTCCTGCAGGAAGCTAAATACCTGTGCTTTTCTGGATGTCACACATCTCCAGTTTCACCTTGAGTGAACAACTCTTTGCTTTAATTTGCAAATTCTAGAGCAACATGTCTTCCATTCATTGATTTATTCATCTTCATATCGCACCTCTAGGTCCATTAGTTATCTCCCCCATGTTTTCATGCTCTGTCTGAACATTGTGTTATAGTGTGTTCGCACATAGTTTTTTTTTTTTACCCTAAATGCAACTACCCATTTCAGATGGAAATCATTAGGGAGTAGCTGTAGGGCACATAGAAGGGCGCTGTATAAATGTGTAATGTCCTGTTCAGCACAGTAGCCTTGATAAATGTTACCTTGTGACACTTGGGGTGTTCCATATTTCTTGAGAGACTATTTGTAATTTAAAACTTAATTACTTATCATTTTTTGCACATAAAGAACTGTTTACATATTCAGTATTTCTTTTCTTTTCTGACACTTATGATACAATCGGAAGTTTAAGAAAATCGCCAGCTCTCATAGCTACAGTACTTATTCTAGTCTGTCCACAGCAGATTATCTGTATGACACTGTTAGATTCAGACCATCTGTGTCTTAGTTTCTGTTTAAGATTAGTTTCCATTGGAGTAACAGCTGGCTCTGAAGAGCCATTGCTCTAACCCCAGCCCAGACCCCTCCCTTACTAACCGGCGGAAACGTCTACAGCTGTCATCTGCTTTCCCAGCTTTCCATCCAGCTGCTATCCTAACACCCTGCTCACAGCCCCAGTCTCAATTCAAGATATTTCTGTATCCTACCATAATCCCAATTTAAAGGAAGCCAAAATTTTTCCAGCTGCAAGGCCAACCTCCACCCTCAATCTCAACCAAGTTGCCAACACACTTACTATCTCAGCTGCAGCTTCAAGCTTGGCTGTCAAGTCTAGATATCAAAAATAACCTTAGTGTAAAAGCCAAATGTGAATTTTAAAAATTGAATTTGTCAATTTTAAAGATGGTTCACAAAGCCATGTGGTTATGTATCAGTAATTAGGTTTTTACTATATATTCAATATATATACACAATTTTAACTGCAGACATTGTTTTTGACTTTCTACTACTGTGACCTGTTTTGTTTTTCTGTAGCATCACCCAAGATCATCAAGCTGCGAGAGGAACCATCAGATTATAGTGACCCACCCAGAGGCAAGAGTCCAGTTATCAACAGCATCTTGGTCCCTGTGAAGGGCATCAGTAACCTTGGTAACACCTGCTTCTTCAATGCTGTTATGCAGGTTGGTATTGCTGTGACTTGAGTGAATTATTAAATGTTTCCCGTATGTGTGTGCTTGTGGCAAATAGCGACAGAAAACAAACCTGACCATGTTGCAAATTTCTAACTGTTATTATGCATTATGAAGTATACTGTAGTGATATTATACCCTTCTGCCATTTTTTCACAATAATTACCTTATTAAATAACAGAAGTAGGTGTGATTACTGTTAGAGTGATTTTCATTTTTAGATAGAAATGAATATAATTAGTTAGGGTGTTTTATTATATAGCATACATAAGTCTATATACTTTAATCTCACAGTTGTGTTTATGTTTATGTAGTTACATATCTATATGTCACCCTATGTGTTCACTGAATCACTGGTCAGTATTTACTGTGTTGGCCAACTGGAGCACTGTTTAACATCAAGGGGGACTGGTTCACTAAAACACTGAATCTCATTACATTACACATATCTGTCATTATGAGTCTGAAGCATGATCACATTATTTTAAAGTGGCTCTCTGACTGCTTTGTCTCAAGAGACCCTGTGATTGCCTAATGAGTTACAGGGATTTCCATCGAACGTGACAATATGAACATGTATGCCTTTCCAGTTTATAAACACTTCTCAAGTGATGCTTCTTAGGAGTCTGGCCTATAGTAACAACATTGCATTCTTACAATGACTGTGAATGTAAACAGGCTAGGTCTTGAGGTTATTTTGAAGGATATTCAGTGCAACAGCATTATGAAGCACAGTTAGTGCCGGCTTGAACACATTCACCTACCCATACGTGAGTGACACTCAGTTGGTGCAAAGCATCTTCACCATACAACATGGCTATAGTTCCTCCCTAGTCTTTCTCTGGTCATGTCATGGTGACTGCAAACTGACATGCCTCTTCAACAATGACGCATTTTTTTCCGCCATTTTGTTAATCACCCTCAGGGCCTTCTTCATTGATTGAAATTCGAGTGAGCACGCTTTATATGCGTTTCCCTCCCTCTCCCTGTCTGTTTGTATTGTCTCCTTCAAAATTGCAATCTTTCTGGTGAAAACACATAATTGTCAGAGGATGAGGTGTGTCTGTGTGCACAATGCCAGCTCCATTGTGTGTTTTCCATAGCAACTGTCTTCACTGCCAGGATGTGACAAAACAAATATCTCTTGAAAGGGAAGTAAAAGATGCTTCTCTAACATGAAGGGACAATGGCTGCATCAGGCTATCTCCTCACCAAGGATCTTCTCTGCACTTCAGACTCGCAGATCATAGATTTGAAAGCCTCTTTTAGATTAATGAGCTCAACACAAATTTCCTAAATCCTGGAATGGAGATAACAAGGGTATTTCAGTTGACCATATTGAGTTGCCACAAGCAAAATCTGAATATAGTTTCACATCTTTAAAAGGTTATCATTTGTCTTGTTAGTGTTTTTTAGGAAATAACTTTCATTTGGTGAATAATAAAATCTGTCCATATGGCCAGTTTTATGCTCCATTGTTTTTTTTTAACTACTTAATATTTGTTGAGCCTTTGTCATACCTGAACAGTACTTTTACCCAGTGCATGGTTAATAGTTCATGAGGTGTAAACACTGTTAAAAAAAGTCAATTCTGCCCTCACAGAACTTGTCCCAGACACACATGCTCATAGACCTCATCCAGGAAGTGAAGGAGAAAGGATACAAACTGAGGATCTGCCCTCCTGTCGACACTAATCTGGTACAGTTTGTCACAATTTATTCTCCTCTCCCCAAAATTTAGTCTTCTCTGAACCAAACAACCTATAGGACAAATGCTAATTACTTTGCTTTTAAAATGATCATTCTGATGTTCTTGTTAGTTAACTAAATGATAAACTAATTCAGATGAGTAAATAACCAGTTCACTCATTTTAAAAACTTTTTTTATATAGCTTGATAGCACAAAACAAGTTACAGCTAAATCCTGTTTTGTTATTATGTTGAACTCTAGAATTCCTGCCATAACATCAATTTTGAAACAAATATAATTTACTTTCATTTTGTCTCTGTGTTTTTCAGAGTCCATTGACAGTAACACTGCCCGGACCAGAGCCCCTTACTGCAGCCATGTTTCTCTTCCTTCAGAGTATGAAAGAGTCAGGGAAAGGCCCGGTTAATCCCAAGATCCTCTTTAACCAGCTGTGCCAGAAGTAAGATGCAACTCTTCCTTTCTCTCACTCATGCATCTACAGTATCCTAACAGCTTAGCTGCCCATAACACCCTGCAAATAACTCAGAGAAACAATAACACGGCAGGTAAACTCATTTCTGTTGTTTTAGAATGAAATGGAACACACAGGGTGGATCATACCTGCAATGATTTATCAGTGAGAGGTTGGTGCTGTTATAAGAGATTTAGTTACTACATTCAGAGTTCACTTTTTTGTCAGTTTTGAAACAGAATCTGCGTTGCTATAACCCCTACTGATCCTGTAGAGGACATAGATTATATATATATAACAGTCATGAAGAAAACAGCCATTTTCCATCTCAGCTTGTGTAGTAACTACCATAAAATCGACCATGATGATACACTCACATAGTCTGTATGCAAATATAGCTGTTTTTTTCATGTGAGTTAATCAGGTTCAGACATTGTCCAGAGATGCCCTTTCACACATGTAGCACGCAACAGGAGAGCTTGTCTGTCTGTCTACTGGAAATACTCCATTTTCACCTACTTTCACTCCCGCACTGTGGTGGTGACCACTTTAACCAGCCAGACCTGTTCACATCTGAATGTCTTTCATGAACAGGATACACAATGAAAGCGCTGTACCTCGGTAGATGCCAGTAGCTCCAGTGGCTATTTGTGGCTCTTTCTGGTACTTTCCACACTGCAGTGCCACCTGTGTCGTATTTGATTCAAAGCAAGGTCTAACAGGCTGTGGGACAGGCAGAAATGTGCTTGTACTTGAGTGAACTTAACAGCTGTTTTGTTCTCTTTTATGAACAGTGGGAGTATTTGGTTGCCTGGGTTCTTGTTTTAGCATGGAGCACTGCTGGTTGGGTCCACCTGGGTGTTTGAGGGGGGTGTTTACCATGAAGTTGGTCAGTGTTGCATGAAGTAGGGCAGGTGGGTGACCAGGCCATTTGATGTTGGATGACTGGGTACGTCTCTGATGTAGCTTTGACAGTTATTCTGGTGCCTAGCATTCATCAGACAGGCCTCTGTGTGTGTGTGTTTGTGTGTGTATGTGGGTTGCCACCTCACCTGTTACCACCTCGGCCTGTAACACACATACAAGCAAACTGTGCACACAGACAATAAGCACTGCACCCACCTTTATGCATCCATGTGTCTAATTTTGAGTAGCATCAATCTATTCAACTGACATGCATTTGAACAGAGAAATACTGTATGACTTGGAGCCTCAGCACCCATTACCCACATGGTACATCTACAGTGAAAGAATTCTGACCCCCTCACTTTTCACACTTTTCACACTTTTAACTGATTAGCATGTCATTTAAAACCTACATTTAAATGAAAATAGTACAAACAAATACACTGTATGTTCATTTTAAATTTGATGCCTGCAACATGTTTCAAAAAAGTTGGGACAGGGGCATGTTTACCACTGTGTTGCATCACGCCTTCTTTTAACAACACTCTGCAAACTTTTAGAGAAGGAGATCAACTGTTTTAGTTTTGAAAGCAAAATGTTTTCCTGTTCTGGCTTGATATAAGATTTAAGCTGTTCAGCAGTTCAGGGCCTGTCATATTGTCATATTTTTCACTTCATAATGAGCCAGATATTTTCAGTGGGTGACAGCAGGCAAGTCAGTTTAGCACCTGGACTCTTATTATGCCATGCTGTTGTAATGCATGCAGAATGTGGTTTGGCATTGTCTTGCTGAAATAAGCAAGGCCTTTCTGAAAAACACATCATCTGGATGGCAGCGTATGTTGCACTAAAACCTGTATATCATTCAGCATTAATGGTGCCTTCACAAATGTGCAGGTTACTCATTCTGTGTGTACTCTTTCACCCCCATGCTTATACTGGACTACATTATATTCATAGGTGTCTCTATATTTTGTCCTCCCCAGCTACATGCATGAGGGTCAGAATATTAGGAACACCTCTGAATATAATGTAGTCTGGTACAACACCACCTTTATCTACAACCTCAATAATAAACATATAATTGACTATACATTTATGACAATTTCACCATAAACTAAAACATTTTGAGCTTCATAAAGACAGATGTTAAGACAGAAGTGTTGCACTGAATTGCATACAATTGTACAGGTGTACCTAATAAAGTGGCTGGTGCGTGTATATGCACTGACAGTGCTTTTCAGAGGTGTTCCTGAGCCCAATATGCAGATTACGAAACAAAACTGTAGTCTTCTTCAAAATTTCTTTGCATTTTCATATTAAAAATATAGTCACAGCTGAATCCATTAGTTGTCTGGCAAAAAAAAAAAATCACAGTTGATTAAGATCTAGACATTATATAAATACTGTAATTTCAAAAAGTGTTGGTCACTTGTATTTTTTTTTCCCCACTTAAGTCTTGCAAGCATTAGGTGGTACTGTTCTCTTTTGCCAAGAAATCAAAAGTGGTGGTTTTGTTCTGTATGACCGTGTTAATTTTTGGAAAAGAACTTCCGATTCCACGTTACAAGAGAGCTGAGCGCCAAGTACATGGTCGGCTTGGAAGAGTGCAAGATTTATTACACTTTAACTATTCGCTATTCCCTCTAACTTCAACAGATCGTACATAAATGCAGTCGCGCTCTGAACTAATCTGAGCTTTTATATGCTTCTCTGTTATTCTCCTCCATGCAACAGCTTGTCTACATTCAGTCAGGTCTAAAGATTTGAGCTGAAAAGACGGGGTCAAGAACTTCTCCTGTTTCCTTGAAGATTCATTCATTCATTCAGTGTTGAAATGACCTTTATGATGACTGCACTCTGTAAACATAGTCTGTCACTACAAGATCTTGTCACTCCAAGAGGGTTGGTCCTGCCCTTGACCTGTGTGGGACTGGGGGCGCTTTCTCTTCATTTCCCTTTCACTGTCATACCCGGTATGTTTGTGTTCACAGGCAGGTTAATAAGACTTTCTGGCTAAGATCAGGGCCAGTTTGAGTGTTTATGTGCAACACTGGAACTCTAGTGAGGCCAGTTTTGTGCAAGTCTTTCTGCATGTCTATACACATGCGCTTGACCTCAACCAGCCGAGTACCTCACAGCGGGGCTCTTCCTTCTCCTCCTCCTCTTGCTATTTTCATTCTTATTTTTACCTTGTTTCCTAATGCACATTCCTTTGTTGCTTGCATTGTTTATTGCCTTGTTTATATTGTTATATTATACAACCTTATATTGGTATATTGCTTACTTGCCCTTTGCTAACACACCTGGCCAATAAAGCTGATTCTGAAGTAGTTTGGTCTGTACTTGGACCAGTGCCAAGCTACAGTATGTGAGCTGTATGGTCAGCACCACATGCTGTATCTGGTGCCAAGGAAGGTCCCAGCTTGTACCTAGATCTTGTTGTGCTACAAATCTAGGCTGGGAAAATAACATTTCATTAAAGGCTAAAATATTTTTCCATTCAGTCCTGGGAACCTGGCGCCCAAGTTTTTCATACAGGCTGTGGACTGCTTTTGGTAAACTAAAGCATTATAAAGTACTACTTATTGACAATGTTACTAGTTGCTAGTATTATTACTGTCATTCTATTGGGATGCACTCTGTGCATATCTAATGCATAAGCAGGACAAAGAGGCCACACAGAGGCATTCATGTACACCTGCTTCTTTCAAGGGCTGATTCAGTTTTCAGGACGACCACTGGACACTTTATTATATTTTTAAAGAAAAGGTCTGGCTCTTTTTCCATCCGAGTGCTATGTATAAATCTCTATATACCCGCATCTTTCAAATATTGTTCAAAAGGCTTTATAAGAAGTCTTACATCTGCGATAGAAATAGCGGAGAACAAACATCCAGGACATGCAGCGTGTACACACAAAGAGGTAGGCATGCCGGTCTGCTCGGGGGGGGGCAACCTCTTTCAGGGATAGAAGCAAATATTCACAGTTGACAAAATAAACTAATATTGGCTTGTGTTAATATGCTGAACTGAGAGCTGCAGTCTCAGGATTCTAACTTTACTTTCTGATGATTTGAGTGTATTTCCTTTGGTCTACCTTTGAATCTTAGGAAACATGGAAATAAGGATATTGATAGCCCGTTCATGTTCATAATAAGAAGTATTAAACTGCTGGAAGAACTGAATTTTTTAAATAAGCAATTAATCCTCTTATAATGCTGTTACCACATGGTTTGTTGCTTGTGACACTGTTCCTCCTTCACACAAAGCATTATAACAGGAGATGGGGCAGATGTTTATTGTCACTTGACAAAATCAAAACGTCACAGAAGACAACAGACCTGGTGTAGCTTGGTTAGATCAGTCGCCACACCCCAGTCGAATGAATAGTTACAGAATGAATATGCTGCAGGAAAATGGTGCTTTCTCATTTTGTCATATTTTTTCTTTGTCTTGGATTAATTCAAACTAAAAAATGAATCACCTGCTTTGAATATTCTCTATTTGCAGTAACATATAAGTAGACAGATACGCCTTGCACAGACGTACAGTATAGCCTACTGTATGTGTGCAGTATACATTTTTGTGAGCATACTGCAGATCATTGAATCACATTTCTATTTTTTATGCCTATTTTTATTTTATGTGAGCTGGATGAATGTATTATCTGAACGTGTGTGTGTGTGTGTGTTTTGGGCGGGAACTTGTGTGGCCTTGTGTCTGGTACTAACTCATCCGGCTGTTAATTGTGTTAGCACTGCAGCTGTTTGCGTTGACCAGATTGAGAGCAGCGCTACAGGGGCCCTTCTGCTCCTCTCCACTGGGATGAGCTTCCAGACCTCCTTATTCCCACTGATCCCAGCCAAACTTTTCATTTTTTCTCTTTATTGTTCTGCTTATGTCTCTCACTCATTCTATCTCCCTTATTCTGTGTTTTGTTTATACTGTATGTAGCTCTGTGTGTCTGTCTCTCATGGGATATTTACAGACTAGTTAGTGGAGCAACAGGGACACATTCCTTCACATACTGATCATTTTTAGAGCTAGCAAATAAATGACATATGTGCTACTCACCATCCCCACCCCTTCATCCAACTCTATGTATCTGCACAAAAAGGGCATAAAAGACAAAGTGGGGGGTGACTTCAGCCTCCTCCAAATCTCCTGGTTATGACCTGTATTAGGGGCAGTTGGTTGGCCATTACTCTCCCCAAGCCTTAATCGTCCATTCATGTTTGTAGAAATGATTCATGGATGGCATTAGTTGGCTAGAGATTGGCCAGGTTCTATCTGCAGTAGAATAATAATAATACACAAACAGCTGTGAATATTATTACTCTGTACACTTTAATAAATCATTATCAGATGTGTACTAGCTATCTGCTGTATCATAGAGCTGGTGGCTGGAATTCCTTCAAGGAGGCAATGCCAAATAAGTGTTTTCCTCTTTTTAAAGTAACAGAAAATCTGCTAATACTAGACCATAAGAACCTGATGACCTGTAAAGTATTTGGTACCCTCTAAAGGGCCTCCACAGTTAAAGTAGTTAACCCCCCCCCAACCGCTCAAACATCCTTCACGTTTGACTGATGGCTTCTCTAACCAGAAACACGGCCTCTCAGTGTATGTTATGCCTGTCACACCAACCTGTCCTGTGGCTCTGTGGCAGACCCGGCCCAACAGGTTACAGTGGCCTTAGCCTTGGCTGCCCATCTGTCCTCACATCTGTTTCACCATGAATGGCCAGGAGACCCTCCCCTTCAGCTGGTCTGGCATAAATTTAGAGGATAGAGGTCCACCCTGCTTTGCCAAGAAACTGCTCAGCAAAAGGTCAAATGACCTTAAATCCAACATGGAAGAGCAGTGGCTGAACCACAGATTATTGTCCTCTGTGTGGGGCACCTTGTCCTTGTACTGGACTCCTGTATTCTCCAGTGGGTGATCCATTGGAATGAACATAGTTGATTATATTGTATTGTGTTCCTTTTAAGAATTCCTACAAACATAGATTAGTTGATTAATTCATTTGTAATATTTTCTCTATCGTATTCTGATTCTTTCTTTTCATAAGTTCCTGAATTTCTAATGTCTTGTTTCTTGATTTTTACAGAGCTCCACGTTTCAAGGGCTACCAACAACAAGACAGTCAGGAGCTTCTGCACTACTTACTGGACTCCATCCGAGTAGAAGAAACTAAAGTGAGCTTACATACATTATATACTGTAGTATACTCATACTGTATTCCTTATGACTTTAAAACAATATTTACCCATGTTTTTCCTTGTGTAAAATATATTTGTCAGTTATCTTTTGACGTATTGCTTGGGGGGCGTGGGTGACAGAACGGTCCTTCAAATGAGAGCATTTTAAGTTCCTTTACAAATGCATTTTGAACATTTGGTACAAAAAATGTGCAAAAGGTGAGGGCACTCTATGTGTATATACAGTATTAAGTTAGTAGTTTAGCTTTGCCATTGTAAACATGAGGCTCAAAGCATCACACCCAAGTACAGCCTCACTGAGCCTCTAGCATGGCTGGTAGACTCTCAGTTTTTTATCTGGCATTTGATTTTGCTAATTGTATTTATTCTTTTTTTTTTTGGGTGATATTTTCAGAGGTGGCTATAGATTGCTAGAAAATGCATGATTATGTATAAAAAAATACATCATGTATATTTGCAGTTTGTATTGAAAGCAATAATTTCTATCATTGATAGTTGCTGTCAGCTTACAATATATTTGATTCAGTAATTCAGTAAAGATCTTGTTTATTGCCTGTTGAAAGCCTTCCTAGCCTTTCCTAGACATGTAAACATAATGAGAGATGTTCGGCTACATGCTTGTGGGTGGCTGTGTGCACTCACACCATCCAGTGCCTTTTTTTGGCTTGGCCAACTGGTTTTTGTTTTTTAACCTTATGGTGCCATGTTTTTGGCAAGTACAGAGAACCCCCATTACCCATCCCTTTACAGGGCAATTAGGCGACCCCACGGCAGCCCTATGCAGGATTGAGCTGGCCCCTGTGGCCCCACCAGTGGCTATATGAACCAAGGAGTGTAAGTTGGCGGGTGTGTTTAGTGGTCAGTCCTGGGCCCAGGAGGGGCTGTTCCCCTGCTCCCATTCAAAACTGTGAATGCTGACAGTTGTGCCACTTAGGGGACTTGCAAGTGGCACAACCAACATCATTGTGTGATCTTGGGAAACCCACAGCTGCTCAATGAGCTTCAGGGCTGTCCCATTGTGTTTGAGGGTCACCCACGCCCCCCTTCCCACACATACACATACACACACACACACTCATCAGCCCATCTCCCAATCTAATCAAGGAGGTAAAGAGGGAGGGGGTATGGTCTCTTCTATTCATTCACTCAAACTCATTTTTACATTCAAGCACATTCAGATATGCCTGTAGCCTTCTTTGATCAGTAATTCTTAAAATGAACTCATAGGTTCTAACAGAGCCTAAAATCAAATATTTTTTAGAAATATCATAAATAAAACCTGTACTCATACTTAGGGTAAACATTTTTTTCAAGCCAGCAGCAATGAATCCATACCTTACATGCTTGAAATAGGATAAATGGTCTTGAATATGTACATATGAAATAACACACATTGTCCTGTTTGAGTGTGTAGGTGTGTCAGAGATGGAGTCTGGTATTTTTGCAGTGGGTGGAACCAGCCTTTTCAAGGCCCTAAGTGGCTGAGTTGATTGGCCATTAGTATCAAAGATCTTAATATGCTAATTTGGTCCCAGCCAGTTGTTACCAATTAGCTGAGATGGTAGGTATTACTCTCCAGGCCTCAGACTGTCCTTCTTTGCCCTGTCTTCGTTTTAGTTTCCACCCCGGCATCGTTGTACCAGAAACCCTCTCCACCCCTCCCACCGTCTATCCTTTGTGGGATGGTGCATGCTGTTACTTTGGGGAGGGAGGGAAGTTTGGGTGGGGGTTACTGGTAATTAATTATCAGGAGTGCTTCAGCCTGGTTTGAATGATTGGGTTGCAGACTGACCGGGCTAGGATTAACAGGGCTTTTCGACCTAAATAACAGGCCAGTGCATGGGTCCCAGGACAATGAGGGCTGACTGGTCTCGACTGCAGACACAGACCATGGCCAATTACTTATTGGTCGGTGCTTTACTGTGGCTGTGCCTCTTCACAGCTCTCTCACCAACACACTCACTGACCATGTCACCTTCAATCATGGCCCTGTGAATAACACACACACACACACACACACACACACACACACATGCACAGCTAATTATGAGTTTTACATGTTAATGCTTTTAGACAAGCACAATAATTATTTTATAGTAATGATGCTTATAATAGGGTTTACCTGTCAAACCTGGCTGTAGGCTAGACTGTGATGTGTCAATAATGGGTGCAAATAGGGAGAATTCAAGAAAAATACAAGACCCTCAGAGTGAAATTTGATTCCTGCAGTTCTTTAGAATTAATCAAAATCACTTAAACTACTGATTATCATATTATTTTTGTTTGTTCTTTCCAGAGGGTGAAAGCGGGTATTCTAAAGGCATTCAACAATCCCACAGAGAAGACAGCAGATGAGGAGACCAAACGCCAAGTCAAAGGTTCATATGCGAGCTGCACGAGACTGATGGCCAGGATCCATAGTCCCATCTTGTGGCATGTAGTGGAAGTACAACTCAGTTCCTAGTCAGGCAGAGAATAATTTGATACACATCTAGAAAAAGGAGAACAGTGTAGTTTTTGTTCTAATAACCTTCCACTGGTACATGCCAATTTCAGCTGATAATTGCCTGACTTGTTAAATTTAAGGATTTACTCCAGATTAGTTTTTTTCTGCGTTTAGGCTTCGACTCTCAATAATTAGACCTTCTTCACTGTGTGTTGTTACAGTTTTAAAACATCCTGTGTCTGCACTGTTTAGTCCAAGAGGCTTTATTAATGCCACTGGGTAACAGCATGTCATAGAGAGTTAATAGATCAGTATGACAACAAAACTCTAGTGGAGTATATGACAACCAAATTATGATGTTCAGTGGTCAAAGAACTTTTAGTAAAATTGGAAACAATTAGTCATTTAACTTTTTTCATTTATATAAATTTCCCTTTTTCAACAGCATACGGGAAGGAAGGTGTGAAGATGAACTTTGTTGACCGCATCTTTGTAGGCGAGCTGACCAACACAATTATGTGTGAAGAATGTGAGCATGTAAGAGGTTTTTTATTTTGCTGCTTCTTCAAGTGATTGCTAAAGAAAGCAACACAATAAATTACAGACGATTGCCAGCAGCACTGGCATTCACCATTACAGTCATCCGTGTTTTGAAGATAGCCAACATTAAGTTGTCATTCCTTTACTAGCTGTTACATGCAGAGAACATTTCTCAATTGAATCCCACGGAAAAAAAATCTAAGGAAACTGAACAGAAGTCAACAGGGACCAAAGACACAAAAAGCACTTCTTAAACCAGCTCAAATACCAAATGTTTGAAGCAGGCAGTTACAATAAAATGCTGCAGCTCAGGGCTGTTTACAAAGCAAATGCCACTGTGTAAACAAAAGAATATCCTTGAAAGTAGAGAGCACCAGGTGTGGAGGTGGAGAGGAAAAACAGAGAAACAGCCTCACTGTTATAGCTTTATTGTTTATAGCTGGTTATGATCTTGACTATTAAGAAAGATGATGAATGCACATGCTGACATTTACTTACATTGAGTTTTTTGTTTGTTTTTTCAGATCTCCACAGTGAAGGAGGCTTTCATAGACATCTCTTTACCCATCATAGAGGAGAGGGTGAGCTGCTACAATTGTTCCAAAGAAAATCAGTGTAAATAATGTAGATGATGATGATTAACACTACCACAGTATCAGTATGTTCATGAATAATACTACAGTTTACTTTTGTTTGCAGGTGTCCTTGTTTTTAGCAGACTAAATGATAGGTTCAGGATTTTTCACATTGGTCTTAAATCAGTATAGACCAGCCCATATTATGTGAGATTAGATCTTAATCGTTGTAACCTTTCCTGCTCTCCACACTGAGCTATAGGTTTCCACATGGAAAGTGACTACGCTGTAAAAAAAAATGAGGGTCAAAATCCACAGCCCTCATTCTGTTTAAAAATGCACTCTATAGTTCATCTGAGGTCTCATTAAGTTAATTGGATTTGGTATTTTTCAAAGTTATAGTATATTTAACCCACCAGTTATGTTCATTTTTCAGGAACAGCTATGATGTTCCTGGGTTAATTTTACCATTACTAACCATTTCAATCACTATTTAGTTCAATGGTGTTCTTTACCTCTCACAGATTATGGTTCAATCAGGATAATGCACTCATTTTTCATAAAACATGGATGTTACAACTTTTTTCATTTACATTGGAAAGACCTACATATAAAATACATATTTTTTACATGACATTGATTTTTTTAAAATGTTATTTTACATTTGGAAATCTTTTCTTTTTATGAAGGGATGTTGATAAATTAACATGAGACACCTCTTCTGTTCAGGGTCAAATTGGACTAGATAAGTCTAACTTCTTCCTACTCCGTTCAAGCATGTACTAGGTATAAGCAAATTGAAAATATGTTTGTCTGGAATTATGTGTGGTTACATACTGACTGTTGTTACATGTTTGAAAGAATAAATAAATCAAATCAAATTGACCCTAAACAGTATCTTTGTGATATAAACATGCAGGGGGTGGTTGCGAATATGTGAAATGAACTATATTCATTTTATATGTTGATTACACCTATTAAGCCAAGCAGAAGATGTTTCATACCAATAAAATACTTTTAACTATTGTTTTTAGATTTTTAACTTTACAACTGTACATAAAAGGAAGGTTGAGACAAATTTGTCTTTTTGTTCCCTGGAAAGTAGTTCCTTATAGAGCTGTGGTGGAGAGATGGTTTCTTCTATTCATGTGTAGGTGTTTTTGTTTTTACAGGTCTAGAACTGGCTTTTTACTCACGCTACAAACAGAGGGAATTAGAAATGCAGTATAAACTCATACCGATATTGGACATTGAATTTGAGGAGGAATTCACAATGTATGGTGAACCATACAAAACGTAACTATATTAATATTGCAGCGTTTCTTGGTTATCATAATATGACCCAGGGGATACATTGACAAACACTAACATTTGTCTCTATAACACTGAGCCACTGTCGCTGTTACACTGTAGGTGAACAGCTGACTGTCATCATTGTGGTCTTTTAGGAACATTATCTTACACCCAGGCAGCTTTAGTCTAGCTTCTGTTAGTTCAATCAAGACACAGATTCAGAGCTGGTTTTACTGATTTCCCAAAACTACAAACTGCAACAATGACACACTATGAAATCTGCAAAGTACAAACTGGCCTCAAAGTTAACTCTGAGCACACTTGGAGAAATAATCACCAGCTAACAGTAACAAGCATATACATGACTGATAGACTAGGAACAGCTGTGGCTCCGGAGGTACAACAAGCCGTCTCCTAACCAGTTGGCTGGCAGTTTGATTTCCGAATTCTCCAGGAGAAGTGTCCTTGGGCAAGACATTGAACCCCAAGATGCTCTTGGTGGCTGTCCCCCTGGTGTGTGAATCTGTGTGTGCTTTGAGAGTGTGAATGGGCAAATAGTGTGAAAGCAAAAGCGCTTTAGAAGTCCATTTAATGTAACACACACACACCACCACCCATGTATTTCCCCCTGTTGCATCAGTACAATTGAATGAGAAGGGAAACATTTTTTCATTAAGTGAAAGTCTGAAAATGACCTTGTGGTTTCACTGATGATGCTTTTTTTGGATCATGCTCAGATATCAAAACCATCCAACCCTGGCAGGCTGGGGAAGGGCACGCGAGAGCAGGACACCCCCATGGCTCACCATGAGCAGGTGCTTTCCACAGCACACACTGTCAACCGAAACACCAGGAAGCTGAGTGGACAGGTAAGGGTGTGTTCAACATATGTATGAATGTTGAGCATATATTGGTAAAGAAATCATTTCATTGTTTGTTCTTTTTGTTCTTTTTCTGTACCAAACTTTTGTGTGTGGTGTTGGGGCCAATCGCAATCAGTCACTGATGTCACTTTTTCCCCTGTTTTTTTTTTTTAAGACAAAGCCTGGCCTTTCAGAGTCTGTAAAGTCACATTTTCTTTGTGACTCTACTGTACCACCATTATCTCTGTACATTTTCTCTGCAGCATTTAAAGCATCCCTTCCTACTCTCACATAAAAATGTCTTGAAGAATGTAGAAATATTTTTCATTCCTTTACTGGCAGTATGAAGACATACAGTATTTATAGATTTATATATTTGAGTTGTGCACAAAATAGCTGTTGGCGTCCTATGCCAATAAATGGCCAGAGCAGCTAATATGGAAAAAGGAATCCACAGATAAGGATAAAGTTTAATGTGTCTGATCTTCTTTATCCCAGAAGCAGCAGAGCAGGAGGTCTTCCACCTCTGTGGAGGAGAGGGGAGCATGCTATGGAGCAGAGCGACCAGAGGAGGAGGGGGTAGCTGGTGGATCAGCTCGCAATGTCTTAGTTTGTAAGGTGGCTGCCACCGCCAGCAGCCTTTCAGATGGCAGTGAAAGAGACTCAGGTGCTCAAGACAGCAGTAACGACGCTGACAGTGAAGCCTCAGAGAGCGAGTGGGCCCCACGCGCTTCCTCCTCGATCCACGGGCACACGTCCACCCCATCGTCCACTTCCACCCTGACTCCATCCCCTACGCTCCTCTCCGCCTCCTCCCCCTCGCCATCATCCTCAACGAGACAAAGCGGCACTGTAGAGCAACTAGTTACTGCTGTGTCTAAAGTCAACCTTGGGTTTGGTGCAGGGGACTGCTCCCCTTCCACACACTGTTCCCCAGAGGAGCAGGGAGAAACACAGTCCCGAGATAACCTCCACCAGGGAGCCTTCCAGGTGCTGTCCCATAGTTACACACCCAGCTCCAAGGAGTGCTCCATCCAGTCCTGCCTCCACCAGTTCACCTCTGTGGAACTGCTGATGGGCAACAACAAGCTCCTGTGTGAGAGCTGCACTGAACGCAGACAGAAGCAGCTGCGCAAGAGCAGCTCTGTTGGTAAGACTAAACATCTGGTACCTCAGTGCAAAGAGCTTTGTGGATGAGCAACTAGTCATTGTTGTTTACTTGCAGACGAGTGATATGGTGCAGTTTTGTTTCTAAACTATTACCAGAATACATTGTAAACATCACTAATTGTCTAAACCTGTAATGTGATATTCCATTCAAATTCCATCTATTGAATACAGACTCTCTTGAAGTCAAACTGACTGTCATCACCTATAGGCTTGATTGGCTGTCGATTGCAGCAGTGTCTTTGCTCTGGACACAAGTATTGAAACACACATAGAACCTATTTCTGCTGTGCTATGATTAAATGTCAGTCCTTGACTCAGACGGCTGACCCTGGCGAGTTTAGCAGCAGCAGCAGTGCGTGTTTGCACAGATCAGAGCAATTGTGTTGGTGTCAAAATGAAAGAGTACAATCTTACTTTTTAACTGTTATGTTTTTGCAGTTACCAAATTCTCCATGGCACCAAATGGTCCTGTGCTCCTATAACGAGTCATTGATCATGCCTGTGGTTGTCTGCATCACTGAGACTGTTTTTAATACAAGAGATTGATGGCTTTGATTGTTTTAGCAGTAAGCAGTCGATTTCAACAGTTCTGTGTGTTCTGTGTATGCATAGATAAGAAGGTGGAGAAGGTTTACACCAGTGCGAGGAAGCAAATGCTGATATCTTCACTGCCTCCAGTCATCACATTGCATCTAAAGCGCTTCCACCAGGTTAGCAACCATGCATAGCCTTGTCATCACTATTCATTTTAGCAAACATGTTCAAATGCTGTTATATTTGATGGAGTTCTGTGTGTGTGTTTAATAAATATTCTAAACAGTGACATTGTGAGGCTTGTGTTTTAGTCTGCAGGCCCAACTGTTAATGCACTACAGCTCTGTTATTGTGTTTTAAGGCAGGGATGAACCTACGTAAGGTGAACCGGCATGTTGACTTTCCCCTGATCTTGGATCTGGCTCCATTCTGTTCAGCATCCTGCAAGGTATTAAGCAACTAATCCAAAGTCAAAAAATTTACTGTTTACCTGAAACTGAATGAACCCCTTCTGTATCAAAACTATGATATGTAATCTTTGGAATTGTCCCTTTTTGTTCTCCATCCCTTTTTAAAAATCTTTTAATCTCATGTCTGCTAGAATCTGGCAGTGGGGGAGCGTGTCCTCTACAGCCTGTATGGAATTGTCGAACACAGTGGCTCAATGCGAGGGGGGCACTATGCTGCATACGTAAAAGTGCGCCCTCCCCTAAGGAAAACAGAACAGCACCATAGGAACCTGTCAGGTCAGGATTCAGTTCTCTTGAGCTCTTCTAAGATCGTTAATCCATTTTCTGTTTGTTTGTGTGCAGTTCATGAAAGCAGCCAGTATTTTTGCAAGGTCCCACTCCTTGTAACCTTGGGGATGCCCCCTCCAAAAGGCATGAATAGAGGTCTTTGTGTTTTATACATCCAAGTTGTTCTCTTTTTATTTTTCACTTCCTCTCAAGCAGTAACCAGATTTGCAGGATAGTGCTGAAAGGTAGTGGGAAAACACAAGAATTGATTTGTACTTTCAGTTTGTAGTTTGCTCATGTCCCATCCACTAACATGGAGGAGGCAGGATTTATGATCTATACAGAAACAAGCCACCAAGAGGCGATCACATCATAGTGTCCATATTTTATAGAATCAGTGGTTCTAGCACAATAACTTACAAAGCAATGGTTGGAGACCGTTTGACTGCTGCCAAGTTGACCTGACAGCCCAGCTGAACATAAATGCCGGAATCATGGTGGGACCCAGTTGGCGGCAGACATCTCACTAGCCACTCAACAATCCCAGCCAACCCACTTAAGACACACACACACACACAGGCAGGATATTCAGACACACAGCAAACTAGCAGCAGCACACATCCAAGCTGCACCTTCTTGACTGTTGGAGCACAGTACAGCTCTTGGTTGCCTTGTGACATCAAGAAGCAGACACAAGTCTTTCATGCTAGTTTGGCCAGGGCCACCTTTTTCTTGAGATGGCATGATTTGCTGTAGTCATGTGGAAGTGTAGTCATTCTGTGACAATACTTTCACACATGCGTACATGGAGGGCAGCACGGTGGCGCGGTGGGTAGTGCCGTTGCCTCACAGTGAGAAGGCAACCTTGCAACCTTTCTGTGCGGAGTTTGCATGTTCTCCTCGTACTCGACACACACACACACACAGGCAGGATATTCAGACACACAGCAAACTAGCAGCAGCACACACCCAAGCTGCACCTTCTTGACTGTTGGAGCACAGTACAGCTCTTGGTTGCCTTGTGACATCAAGAAGCAGACACAAGTCTTTCATGCTAGTTTGGCCAGGGCCACCTTTTTCTTGAGATGGCATGATTTGCTGTAGTCATGTGGAAGTGTAGTCATTCTGTGACAATACTTTCACACATGCGTACATGGAGGGCACCCCCTTTTTTTTTTTTTACCCTCAGAGGGCTCTTACCTATCTTGGAAAATATAACAAGCCATACACCAGAGCGCAAGTGCAAAACAATGCTTCCTTCTAGTTTTTTCTTTATTTCTAAAGTTTTCTTTGACATCCCCACATCAAAGCAAGCATAACACCAAATAAGTACCTACTTCTCCAGTTGACCTTGATACCCACTGAAATTGGCACTCTGTGTGTTGTTCAGGTGGAAGGGAGGCCAGCAGCAGCTCCCCAGGCCATTGGGTGTATGTCAGTGATACTACTGTTCAGACGGTACCAGAGTCCAGGGTACTCAATTCTCAGGCATACCTGCTCTTCTACGAGGAAATAATGTAATGTGACCATCAGAAGTGTTTTCCCATGAAATCTGTTTTGCTTGTTACTGTTTTTGTTACAGCCTGTATCCCTCTTACTGTGAGTGGACGGTCCACTCGCTCATCTTACATGAGAGGAATGACTGTTGTCATTTGTATGCAAGCTCTGTTAAAAGTGGCACTTCTTATCTTATATACAAAAGATAAACATCAGGTGTTATTTTCTGCTTTACGTTTCACTTGGGTTTCTTATTTTAAAAATCTTAAAAAGAGGTCAGGAGAGAAGAGTGATATTGAACCTGAGCTGTTCTAAATTTGTTGTCTCTGCCACAATCATGTGCCTGAGATATAAACTGCATGAAGGCGTTTGCTATGATATCTGCTAGGAAATAAGCAGAATTATTGCATGCTAAACTGTGCTCTGCACTGACTAGTTGATGTCATGTGTGTGTGTGTGTGTGTGTGTGTGTGTGTGTAGGTGTGTTGTGTTTGTGTGCTCGCACACATGTATGAGTGAGTAAGAGACAGATGAATGTAGCTTAAAGGGGCTATGTGTTTAATTGTCATCAGTATACGACTGCCAGATTAAACTGGCATAGTATAATTAATGTAAAATTTAAAACTGAGAACCATCATAAAAAAAGATTGGCTCCTTTGTTACTCTGTGTGGCACTACCTCAGATTCTTTGAAAAATGTGCTTCAATATATCTGGCAATGGCAGAAGGTGGTAAGAAACAATGAATCAGACATGCTTGTCCCTTTCACTAAAGAGGCCGTGGCTGGGCACGAGGACAAGTGGCAGTAGTGTTTGGGATGGAGTTTATGGGAAATAGGGTTGTACATTTGAGACATGCCATAAGTGTTGTGTAGCTGCTAGTAGTCTCTCTGCCTCAGCCCTACTTATAATAATGATAACCAAGCTAAGACATGTCACAGTAGCTTACATTGACATACTGATTGAACTTGCTGCACATAGCACCTTTAAGGAGTAGCACAACAGTTATGTTACAGCCTACTCTGAATGGGTTCTTCTTTTTTACATTAGAATGTATAAATGTTAAGACTATCAGTGAATTGCATTTGCCAAAGATGAGTTTTGCAACTGCAAGTCAGCAGAAAGTTGAAACCAAATTCATAAGGAGTTTACTTCAGTTTCTTTAGTGTGTGCCCTATCAAGGCCATCAAACATACAGTAATTGTTTTTCAGAGCACCTTGTCTGCCTTCACTGTATTCCAGCTCTACTTTAACTGTGTAAGCACACACACAAACCCGTGTTCAAAAATGAGTTAGATTGACTTTTTATTCCTTAATATCCGTAATGTTGTAAAAGATAAAACTACATTAATTTAAAAAAATTAAAAGGCTACAAGCCTTTCTAGAAAAACAACTTTGCTGTAAAGTGCATGGGTCAGTGTTCTAATGAATGTATTTCCTGTTCTTGAAATGTCTGTCAACTGCAATATTCATCTTTTTCTATGAAAATAGTTTAGATGAAACATTTTTCTTGCTTGCTGGACATTTGCCAAACCAGTAGAAGGAACGGGTTTCACATATGCATCCCAGTCTAGATATTTGTTTTCTTGTGAAACATGGGCAAATTCAGTGCCTGCGCTTCAGGTTTAATAAACCTGTGCATGGTGAGACAAATCAAATGCACAGAGGGATACGTGTGGTATATTTATGTACAGTATAACTTACTGTAAGCAAAAATAATGAATATATAACTATACATAGTAGAAACATTACAAAATCATGGTGCTTTAGGCATGCAGGGTTTTTCCTGAAGACAGCTTTTTGTTCTGGGAAAATCTGATGTAGTTTCAGTTTTAAAATGATAAAGGTTTGGTACTATACCTATATACTGTATCAAAATAAATCACACTTATGAAATGAATATTCTACAGGACTCATCTTGTATGTTTTGGCCTCCCTTATACAACAACTGTAGTGCAAGAGAGATCACAATGGATTATTATTATTATTATTTTTTGCTCTGGAATTGATGTCATCCTGTTTTTACTCTAAGCGGGTTGTTGTCCACCATCGCTCTCAGCTGTCACTGTGTGTCCCGTGGTGCCATATTCAATCCATCTTCACCGGTGATCAGCTCTGACGGGTGCAAAGCAGCACAGCTTCAGAACATGTCGCGAGCTGGTGAAGAGGAGGTGGGTGTGGAATGACGAAAAGGGCAACGTCCAAAAAAAGAACTGCCTCACATCCTCTTGTTCCCACATGCTGTGACATCCGAGTCATGTTGCTGGAACATTAAAACAGGTTGTCAAGCTGCTACCAACAAAAAGAGCAAATCTTTTCTGAAATGTATTTCTGTATTTTTAAAGTCGGGTTAGGAGGGGGTGGCGGCTTTTGACTCGGGGACATGTTGCATGAAGCATTAGATGTGATTTAATCTCAGTTAATGAAAGGCAACATCCCAATGTGTGAGACAGTTTTAAGAAACTAAGATGAAGCTGGAATGCTCGTCTAACAGTAGTGGAGGTTAAATTTTACTGCTCTCACCATGCACGCTACTGCCGCTGTCAGCCTCGCCTACAGTAGCTTGACACACCACACATTCGTGCATTGACACACATGTTCACATACAACACATTTGGACATGTGCCTCGGGCTTTTCTTTTCAGAGCGCATTACAGTTGACCTCTCCTAGGGGTACTATCAGAGGCTCTGCACATTGGTACCTTCATGTTTTTTACAACATTAAGGTAAGATTAACGTCTTAATCCATAATGGCTATATGGAAATAAAGGTATACAGGTCATTAACATTCCACATGGCCAAAGGAGTGGAGTGACAGCCAGCAGCAGCCTAATTTTAAAAGTGATTATTGCAGTGAATCCAACTTTATGTATTACTGCTACGACTTTACCAGGAGATGTTACATTTAAGTTAACACAGCTTGAGTTACACAGTACATTGAATGTTATGTTTGTTCTCATGAAAGCAAAATGAACCTGCTGGATTTTTGAAGGGATTTTGGTCACTTTCTGTCAGCAAAAGAAACAAGGAGCTTATAAAGTGAGACAATGTGCAGTGTCCTTGGTGCTGAAGAGGAGAATCCTGAACAAAAACAACTTTTCACTCAGGAATCTGAAATACTGACCTAAGTGCCTACCCCCGTCCACCTTCCACCAGTAACAAAACATCTGCAAAAACATGTTTCAGTTTCACATTTGTACCTGTAGTTTTCACTCCCTTTACCAGCAGAAACCTCCGACAGACCCCGGCTCTTGGTGGGCGGCCTTCTGCCTCGACCGGTTGGGGTGAGAGGATAGTTTTCATAGTCATCACTCCTGTCACACTCGTCACAAAAAATAAGGCAAATACATCCAAAGTGAATATCTCAGAGTTTATTTAGAGCCATCTGAGTTGTCTGTCTCTGCCGGGCTCGCTCTCTCCCAAAACCCGTAAAATGCTACTGATATCACAGCTACCACACAATAGAGCTCTGACAACAATCCCATCTATGTATAAAACAGATTTCATTACTGAGAAACACAGAAAACCAAATGATTATATATCAAAAATTAAATGTAGGTATCAAAAGTAACCAAAATAAGATGTGACATGTGAAGTGATCATAATGCAAAGCAAATTATCAGTGGTTATGGATACAGGCATTGGAAACTGCTTCTGATTCACACAACAGCAACACCTGCCCATTGTGAGATGAGACCTAAACAGAACTTAACTAATTACACAATAATATTTTGCTGTTTATCTCAATTATAATAATTCTACATATCCTTTAACTTATCAATTATTTTGTTTGCCAATCAGTGCAGCAGGTGGTGCCGTAAGGTTCAGGACTGTAATGTCCCCACTGTGCCAAGGGCCCTACTCAAACAGGGATGTGTATCACCACACTCCAACCACCGGTAGGCAAGGATGTGATGAAGAGAACTTGTTTCTCAGGCCTCTTATTTTCGGCTGTTTAGACTTAGTATCATGACACAGCCTGTGGTCCGCTGGACTATGAAGTCCCTTTAGTGACTTATTGAAGATGACAGGAGACATGAAATGAATAGAACCAGAGGAAATGTTAAAGATCATGGCACCCTACACAATCAGTACTTAGTAACACCTCCTCTGGCAGATATCACAGCTTGCAAACGCTTTTCATAGCCAGCTAAAAGTCTTTCAATTCTTGTACTTGGGATCTTCTCCCATTCTTCCTTGCAAAAGGCTTCTAGTTCTGTAATATTCTTTGGTCGTCTTGCATGCACAGCTCTTTTAAGATCTACCCACAAATTTTCAATGATGTTTAAATCAGGGGACTGTGATGGCCATTCCAAAACCTTCAGCCTGCGTCTCTTGAGGTATTCCATAGTGGATTTCGAGGTATGTTTAGGATCATTGTCCTGTTGTAGAAGCCATCCTCTTTTCAGCTTCAGCTTTTTTACAGATGGTGTGATGTTTGCTTCCAGAATTTGCTGGTATTTAGTGGAATCCATTCTTCCCTCCACCCGTGCAATGTTTCCTGTGCCACTGGCTGCAACACAACCCCAGAGCATGATAGATCCACCCCCATGCTTAATAGTTGGCAAGGTGTTCTTTTCATGAAATGCTGCTCCTTTTTTTCTCCAAACATGCCTTTGCTGATTGTGTCCAAAGAGTTCTATTTTAACTTCATCAGTCCACAGCACTTGTTTCCAAAACGCATCGGGCTTCTGTAGATGTCCTGTTGCATACTTCAGACGTTGGATTTTATGATGGGGACGCAGATAAGGTTTTCTTCTGCTGACTCTTCCATGAAGGCCTTGTCTGTGCAAGCATCGCTGCACAGTGGAACGGTGCACCACCACTCCTGAGTCTGCTAAATCTTCCTGCAGGTTTTTTGCAGTCAAATGGGGGTTTTGATTTGTCTTTCTGACCAGCATACGAGCAGTTCTGTCCGAGAGTTTTCTTGGTCTTCCAGATCTCATCTTGACCTCCACAGTTCCCCTGATCTGCCATCTCTTAATTACATTTCTTACTGTGGAAACTGCAAGCTGACAACGCTTTGCTATCTTCTTGTAGCCTTCTCCTGCATTGTGGGCGTCAATAACTTTCATTTTCAGGGTCTTACACAGCTGCTTAGAGGAACCCATGGTTGCTGGGTGTCCACAAGTGTGTGCACAAGGTTTGAAGAGTCAAAGTATTTGTACAGCTTTGAAATTGGCATTTACCAATGACAGCTGTTGCTGTGCATCAGATCTAACGAGCTGATTAAGGTCTGATACCTTGTGAGAGACTTTGAGACTCTGGAACTCTTAGGGTGCCCAAACTTTTGCACCATGCCATAATAATGTTTTTATTTTTTATTTTTGTTCAATTTATGGCATAAGAAGTAACTATGCATCACTGTTTGCAGAAAATATTGTGCATTTTTTCCATTTCCAAGAGAAACTGTGTTAACATCTGTTCAAATAAAAAAATCACCAAAATCTGTTATTTATCAAGGGGTGCCTAAACTTTTGCATAAGACTGTATATGTGTGTGTGTAAAGTACTTTTACATTATAACTTGAGGTATTGGTAAAATGGTTCACTAAAAGGATCGCTAGGTAAGCAAGATCCTCTAGTATTATTAAATCAAGATTAGTTAACTTGTGTCTTTAAATATAACTATTAATTTAGCAGAGTTGTCATAAGAAAATCTAATCACAAAGAGAAAGTTAAAGAATAAACTATAGAATGGTTGCTTCACCAAACTGGACTACTTTGCATTTCTTATTCATTTCTTGTTTCATTTAATTTCTTGTAAGTCATGACATTTGTCAGGTGTGAACAATTACAGAAATTTCATACCTATAGTCATGTTGCATCCTGCTGCATTAACATAAAATCAGCTGGTGCTTGAGTTAATTTTCAGTCAAATTTCCCTTTATGATGAGAACTGAATTAAGACTTGAGACCCATTTCTGGGTTGTGTGTGAGGGCAGAAGCTGCGACCACAGTTTCCTGGTAACAGCGGTTTGAATCAGAGGGGTACAGTTATGACACTCAGTGGGGTGCCTTTCAGTGGCCACTCGCAGGGTTGATTTACTCAACAACCCCACCCACACAAAGTAAAAGTAAAATAAAAATCATATGAAATCTGATGTAATTGTTGCCAGAGTAAACATCATTTATCTTCTTCTTTCGGCTGTTCTCGTTAGGGGTCGCCACAGTGAATCATCTGTTTCCACCTAACTCTATCCTCG